GCTCTGAATCGGGCTTTCAGGAGCGGAGCTCTCCATTAACCTCAGCCTCTCTTTCTTCTCAGCTATCATATCCATGGTAGCATCCAATCCAGCCTGTTTGCGGGCAATGTCTGTGTCGGCGACGACCTTAACCTTGGGTCCAAAGCTCTGCCAAATGGCGCTCACCGAGGCAAAACCTGACAGCAGAGCCATCAGCGACACGCCGGTGATGCCCAATCTGTCCAAGCACGCCTGAAAGAGGCCGTCTGGCCGTGTCATACTGTCTGTAAAGGTAGGTGCTTCTGGCAGGAGCGCCCCTATCGCCCAGAATCCGAAGAGAAACGCTCCATACCCGGCGAATTCCAACACCCATGCCAGATGAGCTCGACTCTTTTTCTCGCCGCGAAATTTGTATCCGGACTTTGCTACCACCGAGGATATCCCCAACAGCGGAATGGCAACCACCAGAAGACCCAACAAACTCACGACTGTGATCTGCAGAGCGACGCTCCTAGCGGTGGGGTTGAATGAATTGGATATTTCGCAGAGAAGTAACTCCGTTAACACGGCAGAGAGGGCTATTGTGGAAGCGAACGTGATTGCTGCCACGCGGCGAGCGAGATGCTGAGCAGCAGAATCGGGCGATGGCGCTGTCACAGGCCGAGGAAGACCTTTCGCCGTGCCATCGGGTGTTTTGGAGGGTGCTTGTGACAAGAGAGGGTAAACCTTGCGGTAGGCGACGAATGTGAGGACCGCGAATGTAGCGATGAAGGGAATCGTTGAGAAAGCCGCTTTGGTGGTGAGACGAGGGGAATGCAGATAGTCTGGGGTGCACTCGCCGCAGTCGTCGTCAGCGCTTGTGGGTAGCATCTTGACCAGTCTGATATGAAGGGCGGCTAGAATGGTGTACTGAATACATGTTCCTACTCAGACAACCTCTGAATGGGGCGAGAGGGAAGACAAGTTGAACTCGAACATGACATACAAGTAGAACTGAGGGACCAGGACGCAAGGGGCCGAATCGAGCATGGTTATTATTTGTTATCGATTGGCCTCTCAGGTCCAGCCCCTCCGCCACGAAACGTGGTTGGTTCCTGGACGCCCAGGAATGCATCGAGCCACGCTTTGAGGCTGTTTAGGCACCACAGGGCGTCAATACCTGCCGTAAGGGGACGCCGCAACGCGTCACATTGTCGGATACGATGAGAACCGAAGAGGGTGCCCATCTTCAATCTCGCAGCATTTCCATGAACGCTCGCTAGACAATACACGATTCTATTCAGTCCGAGTCTCTATCATTTGCAAGTGGATCAATGACTCAAAAGGCCTTCTCCATATAATGTAATCGTACTCATTTTGTTCCCACCAAAAGCGATTGTTTAAGGTGCTTAAACAAACACATTCAGGGGGCTCCAAATCAATAGTCCCGGGACGCCGCAACCACGTCAGCTCGTCCCAGACCCTATTTCCTTGTTCAGGTCCCCCGTCTCGTTCGACTCACGCCGACATCCGTCCTCAACGGGCTTGAATAATGTCGTTTCAACCACAACGCGTGGGCTCCATATTACCGTACCCTTGCAGGAGATTGTATCTTGACCGGAGCATCAGTCAATATTTGACCTCAGTGGTCGTCTCGGCATCTCCACCGCAGTGCCGGGTGTAGAGTAGCTCTTGGATGGCAAAACTGCCGCAGGACTTTAGAAGATCGTGACGGGTAACCATCTTCCTCCATCTTTTGGGATTGGCGTCGCGGGGTGTCCTTGGTCGTAAGGATAGATTTGGGTAGCCTAGTTCTTCTGTATTGTACGACCGATTTCTTATCTGGAGGGGGATCGACCGTGGCTATACGACCGCCGTTGTGGCTTGTCGCGCAGTATGTCTGCTAGCCAAGGTGTCGTCTCTCTGACTGACGGCCGCCGCTCTTCGACTATGTTGGGCACTAGCAACCGAATGTCCTCTTCGTCCGAGATTGCGGCGTCGCTGTCGCGGTGTTCAGACCGCTTTGAGGGCGGATTGGGTGATCTTGCTCGTTCGGTGGGCGTTGTCTCGTTGTCATCCCAGTCTTCCACCAAAGCAGCGATGCTGGGACTGTTCATGGCAATGTCGGCCCTCGGAGCACTCGCGGTGTTCAAAAACCCTATGGGTAAGGCGAAGCTCCGTTCAGGAGAATCATCATCAGATGTCACGTCACTTTTGGCTGATGTTACTCGAGCAAGCGGGCCACCGTATGTACCCTTCAATATACCACGCCTGGGCGGCCCGATTGCCTTTGCAACAGCATCGGCCTCTTTCGCGGTAGCTTCCATAGAGATTGAACTGTGGCTGGCACTTTCAAACACGTGGCTCCCTCCAGCGTGTTGCGCTTGCTCGAGCATGCTGCTGTAGAGACTACGGCCACTTTCCAGTTGCCGTTTCTTCTTCTTTTTCAGTCGTTTGGAGCTTGGCCGAACGACGATTACCGGAACAGGTGATTGTTGCAAGCAGTACTTCGAGACCGACCCTGGGAGTAAGCCTTGCATGCCGCCCAGGTTTCGTCCTCTTGTTCCAACAACGAGCGCAGCAGGTTCGTACAGATGGATCTATCCCGAGTTAGCAATGCAGACCTCTGCAACCGTTAATGTAGTGATGCTCACCATGCGCTGGAAGATGTCTTGCACTTTGCCCACAGCCAACTCCATGATGATGCTGATTGCTTTCTCCTCCGAGCTGTTTTTCAGCATAACACTGTCTAACAGTTGTTTAGCCTCGGTGCGATACTTGTCCCGGTCGTACGGTGTGTCATGTGCGGTCTTGGAATCTTTCTCGATAACTCGAAGGCAGACAATCTCATCGCCGTCATCGACCAGCTCGTCCATCATCCACTCCAACGCATATTCCGAGTAGTCCTTTGCATCGGTACCGCACAGGAAAGTTCGGCTTCGTGAAGTGGCGGCGAAGTCGCAGTGCTTGTATTGTAAGGTGAAAGCTTCAGTGGAGGCATCTCGATTGTCGATGGTGTCAAAGGAGACGCCACGTTGGTAATGTGTGGGAGGAGGGGGCGATGACATTTTCCGTGAAGGCAGGGATACTTTTGAGCCTTGAACGACACTTTCTCTTCTTATGGTGTCTTCGGCGTCGGCTGTATGGAACTGAACCGACGACTTGCGTCGCCCACCGTTGAGTTGGTCGACAAGTTTTGGTCGCTGAGGAGCTTTGGCCGCGCCTTTCCACACCTCGCCAAACTTAAGCTCCTCCTCTTCCTCTGGTGAGTTGGGTGAAGGAGAGGATTCGTGCGCAGTGGCTGTGGCCATTTTAAAGCGCGAGCGAGACGCGGGGTAAAGTTCGAGGACGCTCCGACACAGCAAAAAATACAATAGCAAATGAGGAACAGGCGGGCCAAGGGTAAGATTCAATCAGCTGGATGTCAAAGAACGAGCAGTCACGCTGTGGATGGATCGTGCAAGCAGTGCCACTTTCCTCATCTGGGGGAAAGTCTAGACCTTCCGTTACACTTATGGGGGTCAGTGGTGTGTTCTCTCTCTGGTCGGATTCTCGCGGTTTCGAAGGATGAAGGAGGTTTTCGCGTGGTCGGGGACAGAGGGACTTTCAAGGGCCGTCACCGATCAGCCGGCATGCAGCTGCATCAGGTCCGAAGTCGAAGCAGAGCAGGAGGACTTCATTGCCGGTCGTGAAGTGTCTTGAGGAAGCGGGCTGTGAACGTTCTTGGTATCTTGGCCTTGCCTGTAAAACACATTACTACTAAGCTCAAATGTTCAAATGGAGGCGAGGGCAAGCGGGGCAGAAGGAAGAAGGACGAAAGACGGCGAGCCAGAAGCTGGAAGGGGTGGAGTAACGCTGAGATTGAGGGCGCCGGGCCACTGATGAGGAGGGATCCGTCACCAATCGCTACCAATAAATGATAATCAGATGAGAAAGGTGTCTTTGTGGGGAGAACACTGCCTCCTACTGATAAAGGGGATCATGATGCATTTGCCGCTGTAGACTTTCGGAACATGAGGGGATCTTTCCGTCGCTAAGGTCCTTACTAGTACTTAGGTACAGAAGGCATTTCGTGGAGGGCTTGATAAGCGTCAGTTGTGACAGAGGGTGACCTTGGCCCGGGATGAGTTAGAACGATGCAGCTGCCACAGATGGTGGGTTTGTAGACCACTCAACCTCCTCCATAATAACAGATGAATACATCAGTGGTCACCTCTGTTGTTCCGTCTTGCCGATGCTGGTTGCCTACTACTGCCTGTGCGGAACCCCTGGAGTTCTTCAGCAGAGCCTAGGGACGAACATGTGCTAATGCGCGTGATCAAAGGCCACCACTGGCAAAGAATGAACGCAGGATGTTTCTAGTTAGCCAAGGCTCTGTGGCTGCTTCATCACGCTGGCAGCTGCATCTGAGCGGACCCTTAGTAGAACTACAACTAGGCAAGCATGTCATTGAGCAGTCACCCGCATGTACACCATGCAGGGCAGGCTTAACCAACGAGTAAATACCACAGTAATGGAAACCCGAGGCGACACGGGACATGAATGAAGTCACTGACCCATCCATGTGTTCGACATTGCTCCTCGTATGTCGATCTTTGCGTCCTGTGACCTTCCAGGCTCCTTGTCCTCTAGATTCGCCAATCGCTGCCTGCTGACCTAATTTTGTAGACTGTCGAATGAAACCATCGACATCGACATCGACAGTCGAGGAGTGCCTGCTTCTTCTCTCCACAGCAGGGGGTCTTCTGCTTTTGCGCTCTGGATTCCGGCGGCCGTCTTTTTGTTTTTGGTTTGCCTGTTTCTACGATCGAGGTCCTGATATTGTAGCTAGATACCTAGATTCGAACATGACTCTCTGGGCATCGTTGGCCCCCTTGAGCTAGGCTGGTAGAGTGGCCGAGCTTGAGAGATCAAACGTGGGACAGTTGGAACGCCCGCCGACACCTCTATCGCTCGTTGTGGAGGGATATCGTCAAAATCCCTAATCTTGTTTGATATACAACTAGGGGGGTATATGGCTGTGAAATTTTGTTGTCTTCGCCTTATTTCTTCAACTCGGCATAAGGGTAGGGAACAGGGTCACCCTAAGGACAAATGTCAGTAGAGCTCCACGTTCAAGAGCAGGTCAAACAATCACCTTCCGCAAGTGAATCTTGGTCTTCCGCTTTGTGACTTGGTGCTCGACAAAGACCTCTCGAGTATACTCTGCCTTAAACTTGCGAATAAAGCGAGGATCCCAGAGCTCACTGGCAACACCCAGGTCCTTACAGCACCGCATCATTGCATTGGATTTGCAGCCTTCGACAGCGGTCGGAATACCCTCTTTCGTGAAATAATCTTGCTCTCCGCGCGCAATCGAAACAAGTCTGTCCACGAATCAACTTATATACCATACTCGTCGGTCGAATATTCTCACCTTCCATGAGCCAGTAATGCATATTCCCGTGTTACAGACTTCTCTGTGACTATTGTCTCGCTTCTTGGGGCCAATCCCCAGCCGCCAGGTCCAAAAGCTTTGTTAAGGATCCGTCGATATTTGATCTCTGGGAGATAAATGATGCCGTCTGGCTTGATCTCGATGTCCTCAGGAGATAACGGTGCCTGCAATGCATCCGCAGCCTCTTTAGAGAATGGCTCTACGGAGAGACCGTGAAAAGACCTCGTCCAATCCACTTTTGAGGGGTCATCTTCTTGTAAAGTCAACGGCTGATCCTCGAGGTTGTCGAAAGAATGGCGCTTGGAGTCTGTCGGTGTTGCTTGAGGAGGGGAGGTGGTCTTTGCTGGCTGCTCTGAGGCTGGTGTAGTCCCTGCGAGACGAGCTATGGACTGTGTGAAAATAGTGCGCGGTAAGACGGTACGCAGTGATCGAGAGGGTAACAGGGAGGTCTCGGTAAGTGAGCGGCACAGGGTAATGGAGGAAGCAGAGAGCCGTTGAGACGTGGATGCGCTCAAGACCTTGAAAGGTATTCGAGTAGCTGGCGACATTTTCTGTGGCTGCGATGAGAAACGGAAGAGAAATCTTGCCAAATCCTGAGAGTAACAGTGTTCCTAACCAGCGGATGCGGGTGACACAATAGAAGAGTCAAATATATACTACAGAAGACGAAGAATCAGAGAGCCCGGAAGGAGTAGTTATTGCAAAGAAGTTGATATGGAACAGTAGCTCCAATGCCTCCAGTAACTTTTCTCGCTGAGGCGCGTCTTTAAACACCAAACACCGAAACTCGTGACTCCGGCCACCGCATGCATGCGCCGTGATGTGACCAACGCAAGCTTTTCTCTCGCTGCAGTGTTGTCGAATTTACTGCTCGTTCGAGGGAGCGTCCTTGCTTTGTGTACGCTCCTCATTGCCCTTACGCTTCCAGCATTGTCTGAAAGCCTCCATCTGTTACACCACGTTAGCTTGCTGAGTTGTAGTTGACGGCTGCAATTGGGAGCCGAGGACCAACAAATCTACAGCGGAGCACATCTTTTACAAAGATCCTTGGGGTTTGGAGTTCAACACATACTTCGGCCTTACAAGCTCTCCAGTCTTTCTTCTCATAGTAGCAATCGTTCATGCGCAGTTGCTCCTCTGTTTCTGCCATCAGAGCTCTGCAACCATTTTCTGCAGAAGACGTCAAGACTTACCAGCACAGCCCGTACTGAAAATCCGTTGGTCCCTACCGGTAGCGACATATCAGCCGGGGACAAGTGATTTGGCATGTTAGTCTGCGAAGGACACTTACCACTCATCAAGTTCATCATCGGCGGCCTCAGCCTGTACCAAGCTATCCTGTTTCGACATCCTGCTGTGTCTGCAGTCGCTTAGAGGTGGAAGAAAGAACAGATCCGCATCTTGAGCTTCAGTGGTACAGGAAAGTTGTCTGACCACTCTCAACCTACTGCGCCACTTACAACCTCTCCACAAGTATTTGTCCGCCACTACCCGCCATGTCCAACCGAATGAATGTCCTTGTTTACTCTGGTGCGCTCACTCAAGATGCGTGGCGGAGTAATAAGAATCTAATGCTATCTTCAGGAAATGGCAGCACTGTCGAGTCGGTTCGTCATTGTCTCTATACACTTCGGAGACTCCTGGCACCTCATTATGCCGTCATTCCGGTGACTGGCGACATGCTCATCAAAGAACCCTGGACCGCGAGCTGTGCCGCTGTAGTATTCCCAGGCGGTGCTGACCAGGGCTACTGCAAGACACTCAATGGTGAGGGCAACAGACGCATTCGACAGTTCGTCGAGCGCGGTGGTCTGTATATCGGGTTTTGCGCCGGAGGTTATTACGGTAGCAAGAGATGTGAGTTCGAGGTAGGGAACAAGCTCTTGGAGGTTGTCGGAGACAGAGAGCTTGCTTTCTACCCTGGCACAGCTCGAGGATGCGCATTCTCCGGTTTTGTTTACCACAGTGAAAAGGGGGCGCGGGCCGCCGAATTGAAAGTGGACAAGACTTGCTTGTTTACAGGGGCCGTTCCGGATGTCTTCAAGACCTACTACAATGGCGGTGGCGTCTTCGTCGATGCATCCAAATATAAAGACCAGGGGGTCGAAGTCCTCGCAAGCTATACGGAGCCTCTCGCTGTCGACTCTGGAGAAGGTGCAGCTGCCATTGTCTACTGCAAAGTCGGCCAAGGTGCGGCGTTATTGACGGGACCACATCCAGAGTTTGTCTTCCTAGGAAAGCCAGCAGACGACTGGTCACTGACGAAGCCTAGGTTTGCTGCAGCCAACCTTGAGACCAAACCAGATGCTCCCGGCTTCGCCGATGTCATCAAAACTCTGGCCGAGGACGAGAAGCATAGGATGGACTTTATCAAAGCGTGTCTGACAAAACTTGGCCTCACAGTGAGCGGGGAGCAAAATGTACCCTCCCTCTCCTATATGCATCTTTCTTCATCCGACCCCACAGACACCGCTGGTATCATATCGTCCTTGAGCCATCTCATCGACGTGGATGAACATGGGAGCGAATTCCTCAAGGATGAAAATGATACCTTCCAGATATTGAAACCATCCGTCTGGAAGATGGTGGATTTGACCAAAGCACTATCCTCGGAACCAGAGTCAAAGGAACCTGCTGACCAAACCGATGCCAGCTCCGACCGCATAGTCGACTATAATACGGTGGTTAAGAAGATTATAGTGCATGAAGATGATCATCCTCAACCAAGGGCAACTCCGTATTTCAATCACTCCGCCTTCTACTCGAACCTGCACAAATACCAATCACAAACCCATGGTGCCGTGAATTTTGGTGCCCATCTGTTATACGGCGAAGTGGTCACGTCGACCAATACATTGCTCGAGAAAAACACCAGGCTACTTCGAGTTCTGCCCCAAGGGTTTACCGCAACAGCGACGGTTCAGGTTGCAGGTCGGGGCAGAGGCTCTAACGTCTGGGTATCCCCAGCAGGAAGCTTGATGTTCAGCACCGTGATTCGCCATCCCATGGCGCAGATGCAATCTGCTCCGGTCGTCTTTGTTCAGTATCTGGCAGCGATGGCGATTGTTAACGGCATTAAATCTTACGACGGCTCTCTTTATAAGGACATGCCAGTCAAGCTCAAGTGGCCAAATGACATCTTCGCCCTCGACCCTGCAAAGGCAAAAGAGAATGGCGGTGACAGAAACGACAATTATACTAAAATTGGCGGTATCCTGGTCAACAGCCACTACAACACCAAAGAATATATCGCCGTGTGTGGGATTGGGTTGAATACCACAAATGTCGCGCCGACCACATCGCTGAATCAGCTCATTCAATTCCTGCCGCACAAGGTGGCCCCCTTCACGCTGGAAAGATTGCTGGCCAGGATCTTGACCGTATTTGATGACCTATATGCTCGATTTCTAGTCACGGGCTTCGACGAGGTCATGGAGCAAATGTACTACCGATACTGGCTTCACATGGACCAAATCGTGACCCTCGAAGCCGAAGGTGGACAACGTGCGAGGATAAAGGGCATCACCAGAGATTACGGGCTATTGATTGCAGAAGAACTCGGCTGGGAAGACCGCGAGACTGGGAGGAGGTGGACGCTGCAGAGCGATGCCAACAGCTTTGACTTTTTCAAGGGTCTGGTAAAGGTGAGTCAAAAATCCCCCAATTCGCACTTCTTTTGAGCATACCCAAACGCTGACTGTCATACCCCTAACAGAGAAAGACATAAGTCATACTTGAGAAGTACAACAATGATGAGGAGGGAGAAGTCGCGAGGTCACTATACCCGATTGTCCTCTTCAATGTGACAGTATGAAGATGATATGAGATGGAAAGTTGGAAGCGCTTTTCCCGGTACTGCTACTTGCTCCTATGTACCATCTCCCTCTTTTTGCTCACTCACTGGCCCGCTTGCTTGCTTGCTTGCTTGCACGCCTTCTTACATGCTGAACTGGGATGAAATTCCACGTCGGTACTTGGATCTGAATTAGATGGGACGATATGGAAAATGAGGGACTCTCGTCCCTGCTCGTCTTCGCCAAGAAAGGGCGATCCATTCACACGAAACCCCAAACTTTCTTGTCGTGTCGTGACAGACTACCCGGTACGCACGCCCCTTAGTTTGTCCTAATCATTCCCGGCCCCCGCAACCATGGGTATTTGCAGTTCGCAGACGTTCCGAACCCAGCTAGCCAAAGCCAGTCTTTGGTGAGAGAAAAACCCCCCTTTGTTCTTTCTGGCTTATCAAGCCCTGTCGATGTTGTCGGTGTTGTACTTGACGTCCTGGCCGGCCCAGACGCCGCCGTCCCTGTTGGCCTTGATCCTTAGGCGGCGGACGCGCTTGACGTCCTCCTCGTTTTCGTGCGTGAGGTACCAGGTCCACACGTTAGCGATCCAGCTGGCGCCGATGGCGCCGGCGCACACGCCAAACGACGTCTTGTACCCGTTATGCGCGAAGCGGGACTGGAACAGCTGCGGGCCCACGACGCCGCCGACCTGGCCGATGCAGGACTGGAACGCGAGCGTGAAGGCCGTGCCCGTCGTGCCTGTCAGACTGGCGGATCGCCCTGTTTTGGTGATGGTCAGCAAGAGTGCTCTTTTTGGAGAGGGATGGAAAAAGGGAAAAAGACGAGGTTGGGTTGAGACGGGAATTTGAGGTGGGTGGATGGATACTCACATGCCCAGAATGGGATAAAGTAGACCGAGTAGAATGTGGTCCCGAATATGCATGCAATGTACGTCGCGTACCGGCTCACATTGAAGCAGAGCACGAGGAAAAACGCCAGGGCGCCCGCACAGATGATCATGATGAACTGCGGTCGCGTCATGTATGCTTTACTCAGAAACCACCCGGCGAAGATGATGGACAAGACCGTCGCCGCGGCTGGGGGAATGTTGAGCAGTTGGTTCCTGGGCAGGCCGGCGAAGCCTAGACTGGTCGTGACGGTGGGCAATTGCCATTGTAGGCCGTATCCGCCGAGGTTCATGAGGATCTGGGACAGGCAAAAGGCATAGGTGCGCGGGTCTTTCAGAGACGCCCACACTTCCTTCTTGCTGAATGCCGGGTCGTGGGTGCGAGGGGCGTTGTCCGTGAGTCGCGCCTCGAGGTATGCTTGTTCTCGTGGTGTGAGCCATTTCGATGACCGCTTGGACTTGGGGTAGTCCGGGAGTACCGCGTATACAACCCCGGCGAAGAGAATGGTGAACAGTCCTTCCAGAAGATAAACCCTGAAGGTTTGAAACTTGGTCAGCTTTTGAGGACGAATCAACCCGTGTGAGGAACGACTTACCACCGCCAAGCGCTCAAGCCGCTGAGGCCATTCATGTAAGAAATGCCATATGCGATCAGGGATCCAACGATCCCAGCGCAGTTTTGAAAGCCAAACATCCACATGATCGGTTTACCCATCTCATCGCTGCGGTACCAGCTGCAAAGTTGAGCGGCTAGACCAGGAAAAAGACCAGCTTCCATCATCCCCAAAAAGAACCGAGCTGCGTAGATGCCTTGTTTATTTTGAACGGCAGCATGACAGGCCAACACCTAAACAGCGAGAAATTTTTATGAGTCGAGTTGAACAGTAGTCAATAGGAGATACGCAACGGAACGACATACCAGGCCCCAGGTTGCAATGATCCGAGATTGCCATTTCCGTGGCGTCATTTTCTTCAACAGGAGATTGCTGGGGACCTCGAAGACAATGTAGCTGATCTGGCCGATATCGGTCAGCAATGCCTCTTGCTAATGCTGTATAGAATCCTCAATGGCCCTAGACTCACAAAGTAGATGGACTGGACCCAGTTATATTCGTCCGCTGTCATATTCAGCTCCTTTAGGATATTGCGGTCTTCCCCAACCTGGAGGACTTTGACGGTTGCAGCGTTGGTGTAATCAACATTTTTGAGCATGTACATGAGTCCGATCAAGAGGAGGAATCGTCTGTCGACCTTTCGCATGACCTTGCGGTCCTCCTCGGCGGTGAAGGATGCGAGAAGGGCCTCCCTGTCATTCTCAAGTCCTGATCCACTGGGGAACTCTACAACGGTCTGTTCGAGGTCTGCTTCTTTGGACTCGGGGTACGGGGTTGAGATCGTCATGGTTGGCAACAAGGATATTCACACACCCTGCGATTGGGAAAATGGCAGCTCAAGTTGAAGGATGGTTCTGAGAAGAACCCCGAAAACGGCTCTGGCGGGTGAAGTCTGCTCGTCTATCGATGCTCGGAGGTGATCTATAAGAAGGTGGATGACAAGCCAAGAAGATCGCTTTATCAACAGGGCTTGCGGAAACCTGATAGCATTGCGTGATAAAAAAGACCCTCGAGGCAGTTGACTCTCTTGATGGATACAAGCAACTTGGCAGCGAAGAGTATGACCTTGCAGGTCCTTTTGCCCCATCTTAGCGGTAGCTTTTTGCCCCCCTGCAGACTTGTCTAGACAGTTCTCACAAGCGTGAATCGACAAAAATGGAGAAGGCCGCGGTCAAGGGCCATTCTGGCTTTTGCAAGCTGCAAAATTCTGTCCTCGATAGACTCGTTAGCGTTGGGCGAGGCGACGTGGATGCGTGGATATGTGAATGGGACACATAAATGTAATGACAAGACAGTTTGTAATTACAACATGGTTTCTGCGTATTGGGGTAACCGCACCACACTGGACCGATACTCGCGTATACAATGGGGATGTTTCGGTCCACTGGTCGCTGGGTCGCTGGTGTAGTGGCCGCGTGTAGAACGTGCTGGGTCTTGCAGTGGAGAATCGGATAAACACGAGAAAGGCAGCAGTTAGTGCAACGGTCCATAGGTACATACTCATGCTGACCTTCTTGCCGTTGTCGCAGATGTCTCGGAAGGTCATTGTTCATTTCCCGCTTGCCATGGAGGATATGCCGAGGCCATCGATAAGATTTTTTCTTTTCTGAACGGTTCTGAGCACGCCATCTAGAAGAAGTGCTTGTGGCTTCTAATCTTGGGCTGATTCGTCCCATCGCGGCATGGATGCCGGCTGGAATGTTTGTTGAGGGATCTGCATGCTTGCCTCTCACATGGCAATGCCGGAGCCGCTATCGGAAGCAAATCATAGATCAGTAAAACCCCACGGACCACATGTTTCTCGTCGTATTCCAAAACGTGCAACGCGAGCCTGATGACTGAGACCAGGAACGCCAATCACTAGAGAATGCGTGGGAAGTCTGCTTGACTTGCTAAACAAGTTGTGCAAAATGCTCTTACGCGCGCACGCTCGAGAAAGACATAATTATACATGGTAGAGTTGAAGCTGTAGACGTGCGAGGTTGATCGTGGGAGGTTGAAGAGGCAGATGGACTTGAAATTGATGCCAAGCCCCAAAACGCGGAAAAAGCAACAACATTTTTCCGCCCCCGCAGGGTCCAATATGCGCTGTCATGCTACTCAACAACATCACCTGCGCGGCCTTCATTTCGCTCAAGATCATTTGTCTCTCGAAAGGGCCACCGAGCTGATATCAGCATTTCCCAGTGGCAGCACAGATACCTCAGGCCTTGACAGCTTCTGCAGTTCCGTTTTCTGGCCTCAGCGGCAACGTACTCTCCTCTCCTTTTTGCGTTTCTTCAGGCAATGCATCCTCCTTGTACACGTCGTACTTGTATTTGGCTCCTTCGTGATCCTGCCTGAGGCCCTTCTGTCCTGCGCCATATACCTTCTCGCGGGCTGTCAAGGGTTCGGCGTCGGCAGACTTGGGCGGTGGATACAAGCCACGTCGACGCAGTTCGGGAATCAGCAGGTCAACCACATCCTCGAAAGTCCCTGGGGTTGTGACGTAGGCGAGGTTGAATCCATCGAGATCTGCTTCTCTGATCCATCTCTCCATCTCATCTGCAACCTTCTGAGGGGTGCCCACGCCAACAGGCCCAAGACCACCGATCGCAGCCTTCTCGGCCACGACCCTCGGCGTCCATCTCGGCACATCAGGGCTTGTTGTCGTGAACGCGTCCAGCATACTTCTGACTTTGTGAGCCTCGGTCGAATCTGCAGCCGTGATGTCCTGGTCGAGAGGGATCTTGGAAATGTCGATTCCAGTCCATCCGGAGAACAACACGAGCCCTCCGATAGTCGAGGCATATTTCTTGGCCTCTGCCAACTTCTCTTGAGCCTCTTCTTCGGTTCGCCCAATGATTGGGGTGAATGTTCCAAAGAACTTGATGGATTGTGGATCACGGCCCTTTTCCTTGACCAGTTGGCGGATCTTGTCGATCTTGGGCCTGAGCACTAGCGGGCTATGTGACGAGACAAAGATTGCTTCCGCGTGTGTGGCAGCAAAAGCAGATCCCGCTGGGGAAGTGCCGGCCTGGAAGAGAAATGGTGTTCGCTGAGGCGATGGATCCACGATATGTCGAGAGTCCAGGTTGAAATATTTTCCATGGTGATGAATCGTTCGCACCTTGTCTGGGTCGATATATGTGTCCGCTTCGGGGTTTGGAGCGAGAGCGTCGTCTGCCCAAGAACCTTCCCAGAGCCTTGTGAGTAATTGTCAGCAATTATGCGCCAGTCTATCAGTGCGCGCTGATGTCGGTACTCACTTGTACAGGACTCTTAGATACTCGTCCGCCTGCAGGTACCGCTCATCATGGTCAATGGGGTTGTCCAGACCAATAGCCTTGAATGCCGCCTTTTTCCACGATGTCACAATATTCCAGCCAATGCGCCCATTGGTAAGATGGTCGAGAGTCGAAAAGCGCTTTGCCAGCAGGAACGGAGGCTCAAAGGTAGTCGACGCAGTGATGCCGAAGGCGAGATTCTTGGTCACCGCGGCCATCGCAGAGATAGGCTGTCGGTCTCATGGTTAGTTACCATTATCCCCCTGCGTTGATCTGCACGCGCCAACAACTTACGATGGTCGGATCGGTCATGGGCCATTGGGCAGCACGACGGATACAATTGTCGAGACTGTCTTCGTACGTATCATAGCCTCCATACGTGTCGGCGAGAAACAGGGCGTTGATGTCACCACGCTCCAGAATCTTTGCCAGCTCGATCCAGTAGTCGAGTTTCCTCTTTGTCGCCGACTTATCCTTGGGGTTCTATACATGCTTTCAGTCCCAGTGAACTCTTTCGGAAGAAGATTCAATGTCCATCTCAGGGCAAAGAAGAACTGACCTTCCATTGACCGGGTGATAGATGTCCCACTGTTGACATATCAAATGCATTGAGCAGGATTTGTTTCTTCACTGGCTCTTGAGAGCCGTTGGCATCTTGGAGGGAACCCATATCGATTGGAGCTTTACTGGCCACGCAGACAACGACGTGAAGCAAATTGATGAAGAGGTTCACTTTGCCAAAATCCGACACATTTTCTCGAAGGAATGCTATCTCCAACTCTATGGTCCCATGTCCGGTCTCGCACCCGAAAACTGCAGGTGTAAACACTGTGCCCCTCAGGTGAGTTTACGCATCATCATCCTCCACCACCACCGCTACCCTCGCCCGTCACTCCACAAGAGAGTCGCCGGATCCGAGTCACCGCATGCATGCAAAGACGTGCTTGGACGTGTAAAGAGATCTTCGCCACGCCTTGATGATGCCCAGGATCGGCAAGCAAGCAAAGGGTTCTCCGCTCTGCGACCAAGGGCCGCCAGCCCTGAGCGGGCGCTATTGCGTGATTTTAGGTCCGATTCCACGATTTCCCTCCCCCATCCCAACCGCAACGCTTTAGCTGTGTAACAAAGTCGGAGTATCTGGGATTGGATCTGACTTGGATATCCACACATTGAAACAGGGTTCACAGAGATAAGAGCAGGGCCGGTGGAAAATCCCGTACGAGAAAATTCTTCCCAGCGAGACGTGGGTGGTTCATTTTCAGTTCGGAACAAGAGGGGAGAAGAGATAAACAAGATACCCGCTTTGGAGAGAGCTTCGCGTTCCTTTTTTTTCTTTTTTTTCAAATGACAATGGACCTAACTAGCAGTATTTGTATTTTTGAGTGGGTACTTTTGTATATGTACAGTACCTAGTACTAGGTAAGTAATATGGTAAATCTCGTCACTAATCTGGTACCATTCCATTACATGACTACTTAGGTACCTACTTGGGTAGTTACCTACATACCCCTGTACCTGGCTGAATCCAAGAGTCGCCATGAGGGGCCGTCGATGTTCAATGTCCCATACGTGGATAGTATGCGTTTACGCCTCTAGGATCTTTGTGGGAGGGAACTCTTGAATGAGGCGAGGTGTGTCGTCGACTGGAGACACCTGTTGTTCGGACCCTAGATGGTGGTGGTTGGGTGGATACTCCTCGTCAATCTCGTCGGCGGGGGTTCTGTGAACAGAAGAAACAAGAGTCAGTCAAAGTCAGTGAGTGGTTTGATATTGTAAGTTGGGGATCCGATAATAACAGAGGGTGATATTTTTTGTATGTGAAGGGACAAAGGGAGATCTGTCATACCTTCGTCTCTTGATATACCACGAGATCCAGTGTGCAAACAACATCAGGCAGATGGCGTTGCCGAGCACAAAGGGGTAACCCTTGACGAATCTCGGGGCGTCGACCGTCTTGAAGACCAGCAGCGGGGTCCACGCCGTGGTGGACTGCGAGACCGTGTTGATCAGCACGAGCGTAAAAGCCCGCTCGGCCGGCGAGTAGCGCAGCTGGGTGTTGACCCAGCCGTAGAGGACGCTCGACATGGCGACGGCCGAGTACGTGGTCATGAAGGCGAACCACAGGGCCGACTCGGGCACGTTCCACACTACGAGGATGATGAGCCCGATGCTGTTCCACACGTGGGCGACGGTGATGGCCCACGCGGGGCCCCAGAGGAGATCCGACGAGAAGCAGACGAAGAGGACGTAGAAGATGCCCAGGGCCGGCGAGATGGCGCCCAGCTGGTTGAGCCGCCCGGCCGAGTACCGCTTCAGGCTCTTGAGCCACAGCAGGTAGCCGCCCGACGACGTGTTGATGCTGCCGTTCCAGAAGAAGATGTCGAGCAGCAGGAACGCCCACACCTGCCACGACATGGCCGCCTTTTTCAGCGTCCCCAGCGTGAAGTGTCCGGACGTGGCGTGGCCCGTCCGCTCGAGCCGCTTCTTCGCGACCGCGAGGTCGTGGTCCTTGATGAACAGCCGATTCGGAATGTCCGGCGTGCCGGGGAGGAGGAAGTAACCCAAAAAGCCGACGGGGATGGTTATCAGAGCACAGATGATGTACCTGTCGGGAGAAGACTCGGGTTAGCAATGTCTTTTGAGAGAACGCGTAGTGGAACGAAGAGCGTGTCGGTAAGAAACGTACATCCATCGCCAGCCGGCCAGTCCTGCAACCCCTTCCAATTGCTCCGAAGCGGCAGACTGTAGGAGAGCGGCAGTGAGGGTTCCGAGGGTCAGGCCAACATAGAAGAAGCCGCCTCGACGAGCTATCTCATGTCCACGATACCACGAACCGAAGATGAAATGGACGGCGGGAAAATATGCGGCCTGTCACCCGCGTTAGTCTTTTGCGCGCAAGTAGTCCTGCTGTCACTGACCTCAAACCAGCCGACCAAGAACCGGTATGCCATCAGCTCAGCATAGCTATTGACCCGATATTGCAACAAGGTGAAGACCCCCCACAGGATATCCAGTAGAGGGACTAGCCAGTGCATGGGTATGCGAGTGAAGAGGAACATGAATGGAATCTGGCCCAGAACGGCACCGACGACATAGATGGTCTGGACATGGACCAGTTCGTTGCCATTGAAGCCCTGATTTGACGAATGAGAATTCTTGAAAGACACCAAAGATTTCAAGGAGTCATTTCGTGATACTCACCAAGTCTTCCTTGAGGCCTGCGACGTATGCATTGTCTAGAGACTTGATCAGCAACCATAGCCCCGAGTATCCTCGCCGTGGGGTTGAGGTGGCTCACTGATATTTGCCTGGTCGATATACTTGACCCAGTACGCTAGAAAGACATAGGGCACAATCAGGAGATCGAGTTTGGTGATGAGCTTGCGTTCCTCCTTTGTGTCATCTGGCGAGAACCAGCGGATCTGGTACCATTTTCGAGGACCTGTCGTCTTGTCCATGTTCGTTGGCTCCAGCGTTCCAGATCAATGCAGTCTCAGCCCTCGCATCTACCTTTTTTCGAAGGCCTCTGAGGGCAATTTTTCTCTCATATACCCATGTCCCGTCACCGTGACGACGCGGTCAAGGATCTGACCGTGGGAGGATCGCCTTCGCCTCCTGACGACATGTCGCCGTTGAATGGCGAATCCATGTAACCACGAGGACTAGCTGCCTCAATGACCTCCCCCCTGGCTTAGTAGTTGCATTGTCATCGCTGCAGCTCTAGACAAAGTGACAGCCGGTGTGAATGGGGATCCGAAACCATGGCCCTGGCTCTTTCTCGCTCTGTATCCTCTTCTCGTCGATCCGCTTGTGTGTGTGTGTGTGTGTGTGTGTATCAAACCCCCCACCCTCGTATGTATCGTCAGGTAAAATGGTCAGGGGGTGGGAAAACGGTGTGGCCAATACAAAGAACTGGGAAAAAACCCCCAATACTATCTGATCAATAATGTCGTCCAACTCCGAATGTTGCCCGTTTTACCCTTGGGACGACAAACGTCTTGACGGCTGTGGATTCTGGATCGATGGTGTCAAATAGTGGGTCGTGTTCGTGATGGGCCGCAATCCCTTTCCCTTTCTCTGACAGCGCCGGGTATGGATACCCACGAGTCAATAGTCGTCAACATGTGAGGATCTCGCGAAAGAGGACCGGCACATGAAACGAGCAGGGTGTATAATCTTCATGTCTACACTGGTCAGTTCTGGTGTTGTACTCGTTTCCCAAGAAGGCGTTCCAAGAACAAACCGCACAACATGGCCAATGTCGATGTTATAGATCCATTCCAGGTCAGCGCGGTCAGCAACGGCGAACCCAACAACCACCAGTATCTCGAACAAGAACAGTCACAGCCGAGGCTGAAGAAAGAGGCACTGGTGGTGGTAGAGGAGAGCAACCCAGCTGAGGCCTTGGACAGTGCCAGGCCCCTTGAGGAGACGCCCAAGATCGAGACACAGCCTGACGGTCGCCCTGCAAACACCCTCCATGAAGCATATCCCAAATCCAATGTACAGCTTCTTGACCATCACATTGACGAGGGGAGAAGTCTAAAGGTCGTCATCATCGGCGCCGGGCTGTCTGGTATCCTCGCCGGGATATTACTGCCAGTCAAGGTTCCCAAGATTGAACTAATCATCCTCGAAAAGAACGACGACGTGGTACGTATGCTGCAGAACCTCTCCCCCCTTTCTCCCCCTCAACTTTGCTAAACTACTCGTTTCAATTCGCCAGGGAGGGACATGGCTGGAGAACGTATATCCAGGCGTCAGATGTGACATTCCCTCACATGTCTATCAGTCGACCTTTACTCCATTCACTCAATGGTCGCAACAATTTGCCGAGGGCCATGAGATCCTGCACTACTGGCAGACCCAGGCCAGGAAGTACGACGTCTACAAGTACATCAAGTTTGGCCGGCGGGTCCAGGACGTTGACTGGAACGACCAAGACGGCCAGTGGACCATCACCGGGGTGAATCCCAAGACCGGCGAGTCTTTCACGGAGAAAGCAGACTTTGTGTTGCCGGCCATAGGCCGTTTCAACGACTGGAGGCTCCCGGCGTACCCTGGAGTGTCCGACTATCAGGGTCACCTTCGACATACCTCGAACTGGGACCCGTCGTTCGATCCCAAGGGCAAGAAGATCGCCATCATCGGCAACGGGGCCAGCGGGATCCAGGTGCTCCCGAATCTGCAGCCCCTTGCGAAGCACATTGACCACTACGCCCGGAGCAGGACGTGGATTGCCGGCTCGTGGGCCGGCGACGAGCGCACTTTCGAGCCGCAGTGGTACTCGGAGGAGCAGAAAAAGGAGTTTCTCGACCCGGAGAAGTACCTCAAGTTCCGCAAGGAGCTCGAGGACAAGTACTGGCGACGGTTCCCGTCGACGTTCCGCGGGTCCGAGGAGAACCTCGCGATGCGCGACCGCTTCATCCAGATCATGGCGCAGCGGCTGGCCAAGAAGCCCGAGCTGCTCGACCTCCTCGTGCCAGACTTCAGTCCAAACTGTCGCCGCCTCACGCCGGGGCCGGGCTACCTCGAGGCCCTGACGGCCGACAACGTCACGCTGATCCAGGACCCCATCAAGCGCTTCACCGCCACGGGCATCGAGACCGCGACGGGCGAACACCGCGAGGTGGACGCGGTCCTGTGCGCGACGGGCGCCGCCATCGACTT